AAATATCTATATTGCAGCTACTTAACAGGAAGAGGAATACGGCTCTGCACTCAATACAGTCGTGAGAGATGTGGTTGGATATTGTAAATTGCTTAGCTATTTATGTTCCTCACTAGCAAAATGTTAACAGAATATTCACTTTCTTTTGTGAGACTGGTAGAAATACTGATCTGGATAAACTATTGTTAATAGTAGAGCTGGTAGCAGATGCTCTACAGTGAAGTTTTTGCTCAGTTGCTGACTTCAATGTGCAAAAAGGTTTTGGGGGGGAAGGGGAGAAAGCTTTCTATTGAATTTTAAGTGCAACAGTAAAATGCACGATCTGACAATACTCTACAAAGGTTTCCACCATGCTGCACTTGATTATTTGACTAAGCATAGTACTATTGTAGGGTGCATTAGCAGGGAAGGTAGGGGTTAAATAGCTAATGTAGAATAAGCTGAGTCTTAGAGCACAAGGACCCATGATAACCGGCAGAGTCCGGATGTCTTGCTCATGGCAGGGGCAGAACCCTTGATAGATGGCAGGGTCAGGATGCCCTGCTCATGGCAAGGTCTGGACCCTTGATAGGTGGCGGGGTTAGGGTGCCCTGCCCTCAATCAGGATGATAGGGGGGCTGCTTATCCAGATGTTTTAATTCAGCAAAATAGATAACATTAACAAGAATGCAAAACAGGAAAACGGGAGGGGGAACACTCTTGGGTAAGAACGGTATAAAAGAGGGACGCTCGAAGTGGTCGGGGGCGCTTGCAGCCGTCTGTGCAAGGTCCCCTCGGAGCCGCTCACCCCTCTGCCGGGCTTCTCCTTGGGATGAGCAGACAAATTTCTTTGTTTCATTTAATTTCTTCTTAACGGTAATGAATGGGGGGAAGGAGTGTTTTTAAGAGAGGTTATATACAACATACCCTTCCTGTGAAAGCCCTTTCGAGGGAGGTGATCCTGCCCCTCTGCTCAGCCCTGGTGAGGCCGCATCTGGAGTATTGTGTCCAGTTCTTGGCTCCACAGTACAAGAGGGATGTGGAGCTGCTGGAGAGAGTCCAGCGCAGGGCTACAAGGATGATCAGGGGCCTGGAACATCTGCCCTATGAGGAGAGGCTGAGGGAGCTGGGCCTGTTCAGCCTGGAGAAGAGAAGGCTGAGAGGGGATCTGATCAGTGTCTATAAGTACCTCAAGGGAGGCAGTGAGGAGGATGGTGCTGGCCTCTTTTCACTGGCGGCCAGTGACAGAACTAGAGGTAATGGCCACAAACTGAAACACCAAAAGTTCCACAGGAACTTAAGGAAAAATTTCTTAACAGTGAGGGTGATAGAGCACTGGAACAGGCTGCCCAGAGAGGTTGTGGAGTCTCCTTCTCTGGAGATCTTCCAAACCCGCTTGGACGCAGTCCTGTGCCACGTGCTCTAGGTGACCCTGTGTGTGCAGGGGGGTTGGACTAGATGATCTCTAGAGGTCCCTTCCAACCTTAAGCATTCTATGATTCTATGATTCATATACTATTGATTTTAAATGTATACTCATCAAACAGTTTGCTCAACAACAGAAA